CACGACTCTCTCCCTCTCTCTCTCTCTTCAGTCCCTCCTCTCGAAATTCCCCCAAAAGGTGAGTCCTCGAAACCCTAACCCTAGATTTCATCTTCCGTCAAGTTTTTTTATAGGGTTTCTCTTTCTCGTTTCTTGTTGTCGATCGCTCAATCCCCCGATCGAATTGTATTCGGTGCGATGTTTGTTTCGGTGCGAGATCCTTACAATAGATCGTGCGAGTCGAAGCTCGAATCTTGATTATGATCTTGATAATCGAAGGATTGCACAGATTGATTGACGATTGTTTGATTGTTTGTTTGTTTGTTTTTCTTTTTTGGTCTTTTCCCCCCTTGTTTGTGTAGGAAAATGATAAGGCTTTTCAAGATCAAGGACCAGAAGAAGGAGGAAGCTGCAAATACGAATGGACGACCGCCTGGAAAGAAACAAAGCGCAGGCGAATTACGTCTTCACAAAGGTTTAGGCGTGCACAAGTTTGTTTACTTATTTATTTATTTTAAGTCTTTTTTTTTCCTATACGATTGAAGTGTTAGTAGTTTGGAATTGCTAGGGTCCCTTCTGTTCCACATTGGACTAAATGAGGTATCAATTTGGGGTTATAAGAGGTTTGGATTCCCTCTTATCAACTAGTATTTACGGTTAAGTTCTCTTGGGTCGCTTATAAATGGTATCGTAGTTGCAAGCAAGCAACGTATGTGGTGATGTCGATATTAGGGTGTTCACCCCCGGACTAGTTAGTCCAAAGCCAAAGGGGTGACCCTATGATTGGAGTGTTCGACCGGGACTAGGTTGAAAGCCACCCTTGTCGGCACGTTTACTGCCAAATTGGCTGAATGTGGAGTCAACTAGCTTTAGGGGTGAGCCCTCCTAGGTCTCTTATAGAATTCAGAAAGATGACTACTTATGTTTAGCTATACATGCCATTGTTCATTTCTTTGTAGCTGCCCTTTCTCATCTTGTATTGTATGAGCAGTTGAGCATTGTATTTATTTATAATTGATCAATACATGGAAATGAATAACTGTAAACGTAGCAGCAATAAGAAAGATCTGAATATGCTTTTGTACTTGATGATGCAGGCTGATGCTTTACACTTCTAATATGGCAATTAGTTTGTTATCCTTTTATATACTTTTCTGATGATCGTGTTGCTACCTATTTTGCATTTCATACTTGTTTACTAAATCCACGGTTTCAAGTGGATCCATTATCTTGGCATTCACGGAAGCTTGTAGCTTTTTGAAGCATGTATCACCGGCACTAGCTGAAAGAAGTTTATGGTTAATCTTGAAAATTAGTCGTTATCTGTAGATTAATGTTAGCCTACAATTTCAGCATCTTTCATGTATTTTCTAACCGTTTTCTTTAGATTGAACAGTCAGTATAATCTGCTATTTCTAATCTAATAAAAAAGTTAGGCTTGTCAGGAGCTAATCCGTACTCTAAGAAGAAAACCAGTCTTTGCTTTTGCTACTAAGGTTTTTCCTTCATTTTCATGTTTTTGTTTGCCATTACACAAATTTGTATGTAATTATATGTTTTTGTGCTTAAAAATCTAAATTCAATGGTATAAACACGACATTACTTAACTTTCATTTTGGATTTCTGGTTTACATAATCCTTTTTTTTAACGACAATATTTAGTACGTTTTGGAGGCTCCTTTATGCTTTATATTGCTTGATTTTTTTACATGTAAAACAACACTGGATTTCCTACAATTGATTAACTCGGAAAATTACTTTCATTCATAACACCTTTTTTCTTGGAATGTAACCCTTTAACATACAAGAAGACAAATTTATGATACATTGCATGCTGATAGTGATTCATCTGTATCTTTATTTATACATATGAATACATAAAATACAAGACATCAATTTAGACCTAACTGAAGAAGCCATGGGATTTTCATATCTGTACATATCGTGCATCTTAAGAGTTGAAGACTTATGGGCCATCAATTTAGACCAATCCTACATATAAAACTATATTGACCTGGAAGGGGTACTAATTTTTGATTTGAGACATGTTCTGGTCCCTGGTTACTTTTTGACTTGAAAGGGGTACTAATTTTCAGATGTAGAATCTTGAATTTATAGGGCAATAATTTCTGAATCTTTAACTTGAAATCTATAATATTTATTAACTTCTTATATTTAGTTCTCAATTTCAGGCTTTTCTCTACAAGAAAGGCGAGTCAATTTTCTGCTATATAATTATACTTTTGGTATTTGTTTTTTACAGATATCAGTGAGCTAAACCTGCCGAAAACTACTACTATATCTTTTCCCAATGGGAAAGATGATCTGATGAATTTTGAGATCAGCATCCGTCCCGATGAAGGATTTTATTTGTAAGTATCTTTTGCTGATTTGGATTTATTTTATAAGCCAAGTGTCTGTGTGGTTTTCAATATTTTTATTTCCTGTCTACTTGTGCATTAAAAAACCTATATCTGTGCAGTCCTCAATTTTCTTGCATATTTTTGTTTGACTTTATAATTTGTTCTAATTGCTTAAGATAATAGGCTTCATTTTTTTTTGTAGAATGTGTTTCGTCCTTGTCACCTTCGCCTTTTTGTCTTCAAGGGTTTAGGTCATTTTCATGTTTCCATGTCACTGTGTATTTTTCTTTTTAGATGGCATTTGTCCCTTTCTTCTGCAACACGTTTATTAGTAAATTCTGAAAAGGTTCAAGGCAGATTGTAGTTGCTCTTGTGGTTGTATAATATCTCGACTATGAATATTGTTGTTTTTTCCTTCTAGTTTGTATGTATGCCCTCGTCAACATGTCCATATCTTCACTTGTCATTCACTTCCAATTACTCAGGGTAAAGCCTAAATTTGGAATCTTCAATACTCATGGAGAACATCTTTGCGGCTTTTCTTTTTTACCATTTTGTCATCAGAACATTTATTGTTATGTTTCTTCACAATTCACGTTCTTGTTAAATGCACTTATCCCCATTTTTGTGCTATAACATGACTTTCAGTTGTTTTTGACATTTTTCATAGAGGTGGTACATTTACATTCACCTTCCAAGTCTCTCCTTCGTATCCCCACGAACCACCTAAAGTCAAGTGCAAGACAAAGGTAACTGTATTTTTCTTGTTTTAACTTATTTTTAGCCCATGCCCCTTTTTCCAGTTAATCTATTTTATTTCTTCAAATTTCACTGAATGTAGGTTTATCATCCTAATATTGACCTCGAGGGTAATGTCTGCCTTAACATCCTCCGTGAGGACTGGAAGCCTGTTCTCAACATAAACACTGTCATCTATGGGTTGAATCTTCTTTTCACGGTATTCATCTTTTTATTAATGTTTTGTGCAGATGGATTTGCTAGTTTCTACTGTGAGCCAGTGCAAAGACATATTTGTAATAAATACCTTTTCATACAGTCTGTTCTCACTTTCTTGATAGACTGAAGTAATGTTGCCAATTAAATTTCCAAAAATTAAAGATAAAATTGAACATTTATTTGATTGTACCCAAGCTAAAATATTTGCCACGGGTCAATGCTCACTGCTCAGAATATGTATGGACGCAAAAGCTGTATCATCTGATTCCAATTGTACAGTACTGCTTGTTCAAATTAGTGCCTACTTAGTGTTTACATTAGAATGATCTAAATTTCAACAGCTTGTAGCTTTTGTAGTCAGCTCAGATGCAACACATGAAACATGTCAACTTATTGTTTTGAAATTCAAAGAGTATATTGTCATATCAATAAAAACAATGCAATCCTAATTGTCTGTTTTATTCTAAAATGTGTGGTTGCGGTAGTGGTGCAATAACTTTTTCGACAAACATGCCGATTGAAATGTTTAATCATATAAATTGTTGCGCAACCAAGAAACTGTCCAAAATTGAGTATAGTTGAACAAGGCGTTGAGATGGATGAGTTTAATACAGTAAATATAGATAAGGAAATGTTTATTTTTAGGAAGTTCGAAGTGGCGTCAACAAAGAGTAATTTGAGGAGTGAACATACATGTCATTGCTATTAATTAGGGTTAATAGCACCGACATGTATTGCAAATATTAATTATGGTTAATAGCTTGTTAAATTCAGTTTACGCGTTGATTTGAATTTATCTGCTGCTTTCTGATTATGCCTTCTCTCACGGAGTGATATATATTTATAAATCCTTCTTGATTAAAGATCCGTTATCACTCTTAACTGCCTGCTTATGTTTATGTTCAGCAACCCAACGATGAGGACCCACTAAATCATGAAGCAGCTGCTGTTCTACGCGACAACCCGAAGTTGTTTGAAACCAATGTGAGAAGGGCCATGGCTGGTGGATATGTTGGTCAAACCCACTTCACCAGGTGCTTATAAATTGAACGCCCGCACCAGAAGATCTCAACTGAGTGCTGTAAATTCTATCTGGTGATCTCGGAGTAACTTGGCAATTCTTGATGCATGTGTTTTACGGTTCTTTCAATTTTGCATCATTGCTACGTGTGAAACTTATATCTGTTTGCTGAATACCTTTTGAGTTTATGTTTCCAGTTCCATGGTAAAGTGTGAATGATGTTTGGCTCCTTAAATGGAAAATATGTACCGCTACTATGATAATATACCATGAACTATTCTCTATGGTCTCTATCGGAGTTGTTGGCTTCTCTGCTGTGTTTTGTGTTAGTAGGTGTTGGCAATTCTTGGGGTTTTTCCTCCCATTCCTCCTCCATTATAGAATTGTTAATTAATTCATATAATTGGTGAGCTGGATTTAACTTTCGTGTTAGTCGTTTGAAGTTGATTGAGCCGCGAGAGGCTGCTGAATTTACTGCTATAAGATGAGTACCGCAAAGGCTCGTCTCAGTTCATATGGTTCCGTAATGATCAGTTGCGGGTGGAATTTATACAATTTGTATTAGACCGCGTCATTATAGAGTCTGTTCCTTTAGGCTTTTACCAACTTGCATTGCCTACCTAGAGAGATTGCGCATGCCTTTTAAAATTGTTTTTGTATGGGAAGTCGTCAGAGATCTCATGGTTAAGCTATTGATTTGAAAGGGGGGAAATAAATTGTCCAATCATCATCGACAACCAAAAATTAGTACCAAAGGGCTGTCTACAGGACTGAAATCAACACTAAGCTCAAACGCGGGAAGAGATTGAGATTGTCACCAGATGCAGTTCTCTAACTCCTTTCTCCACAACTACTGAGGTAAACGGTACAAGTAATTATACAAGATTCACTCTTCAATCAATCTCCGAGGCCCCCGACCAATTTTATGCATCCAATTTATATAAGTTTTGTTTAAGCAACTAATTAGACAATTCAATAAGTAAAATATGTTGTAACAATTTTTATTAGGCAACAACAATTTCTGCCTAATGGGGGGGGGGGGGGGGGCAACGGCCATCTATGAACTCACAGGTAGACGCTACAATATAGAAGAGAGGTGCTTCAGCTCTTTACAGCGCCAAAGAATCTGGAGAGTGGCAAGGGACCATCACTATCACCGTCACTGCTGGAGTGCTTGGCTCGTGACCTGTGCTTTCTTTCCTTCTTTGATTTTTTCGATCTCGACTTTGACCTTGACCTTTTCGATTCCTTCTCATTGTCGCTGCTGCTAGAAGATTTCTTTGATCTTGACTTCGATCTTGACCTTTTTGATTCCCTTTCATCATCGCTGCTGCTAGAAGATTCTGATGATGAACAAGATGAACTGGATTCATGTGATCTCTGTCTGTGCTGTAAAATATAATTATAATTCTAGTCGTTTACATGCACATCCGTGGAAATAAAGATAAGACATTATAAGACGTAAAACAATGTAAAACACGAAATTCTAGGTTGTAATACTTTTTGTTTGTTGGCCACAGTCTAAAAGAAACAAAGATCAAATTAAATAGTATGCTGCATGCACATTAGAAACTCACTTTCAGCCACAGAATTCCTATTTCCTAGTGATCATTGGAAATTTGGGATGTGCAACATGAATCTCAATAATTCTAGACAAACAAATATTTATCTTTTAAGATGCAAGAAACATTTGAGTCCTACCTATACTTTCTAAGCAACACTTAACTATTAATATTAGGGTTTTATGCATTTGTAGCATTGTTAACATTTTTCAAAGCTGGAACTTAGGAACAAGGGATCTCCTCTTGGTATGAACCATTTTTGGAGTTAGGTTGCCCATCAAGGAAGTCATCCAACAAGATTCATTTGGAGTGCCAACTCCATTTTGAAGAATCTTTTCTGTCAAGTAAGCATCAAGACAAAAGTTTAATTAAAAAAATAATCCCCACTTCTCATGCAAATTTTATATATGTGCAATATCCTGAGGATCTCAACCTACCTTCTTATTCTGCCTAATGATTACTCCTTTGGAATCTACGTATAGTTGTCCCTAGGCATGCCGATGAATGTTCTCAAAGAAAGTCATCATTCTTATCATTTTCCTCTCTAAAACAATCCTGCTAAAGAACCAATTGCACACATTGCTAGAGAGGTCAGAGTTGATCGCCAATGTCACTTGGTCATATATGGAGGAGAACATAACCTACATTCACTAACAAGGATCAAGGTCTAAATATGTTATTCTTACTATTGTAGCGTATGACTTCCTATAAGATTAGCACCCCTCCAGCACTGAGAGCCAGGTCTTATGAAGATAGAATGTTTTGCCTATTTATTTAAGTTCATGAGACTCTTATGCCCTAAACATCCCTTGAGCACAGTTGTAGCTTGCAAAGTAGATGCTCCACTCAAGATGGGCATGATGAAAATCGCTGACGCGTCCTTTGTGAATCTAAAGAAGCCAAGTGTGGAGAATATGTAAAGTTGCTTAACTAACTGAATGAAACAGAGCGACAGTAATTCAATTTCGACAGCGAACGAACGGAATTCAATAGGTTACTCTGAGCTTGAGAAGGCGGTTAAGCAGTGACCAGTTAATTCCATGTTTTGACTGAATCACAACTGAAAGGAACTATGTCATAGGTGGGCACATAAATATAAGGAATTAATTTGAAAATCAGAAACCTTTCTCTTTCTGCTGCTCCGTTTCTTCGTGTCTTTATCCTTCCTCTCTGCATTGGCATGCACTCGAGTCCGTAAAGTAGCACTAAATACTCTGAAAAAGGAGGAAATGTAGGCAAATCCAAAACTTAGAGTTTACCGAGTTTACCTTTCTTGCTATGTGACTTGCTGCTGGAGTGGTTTCTTCCAAGAGAGAGCTTGCGTGCTCTTTCAGCATCAAGCTGGGCCCTGTATTCTCTCATCATTTTATCCTTGTCAGCCTCCATCTCACCTCTTTTGAGCTCGTCTTCCTGAATGAGGACCATTAGAGTAAGTGGTCTAACTACAATGCTAATTCTATGCAAAAAAAATTGGGGGAAAAAAGAGTAACACTTCCAGTGAAATACCCGGAAGATCAGTAATTATTAAAACAAAAGAAGAAGAAAGAATGCACATATCATGTGCAAATGCAAGAACAGAGATTATGATAGCAGTGGCGGTGCGTGAAATGGTCATCTATGATGAAGAATTTGAGAACAGCATTTATACTCTAATACTACAACAACAACCAAAAAAAGAAAAAAGCTTTATCATTACCCGCCAACAAAGCACACCATGAACCATCGTCATGGACATGTCCAGTAAAGGGTTGGAACTTTTACCCAATTCAATGAACCTCATTTTAATTACATCAGATCATTCATAAACAGATATGACAAAAGGTTAATCTATTGATAATCGTGTGAATATGTATGTGACACAAGTTCTTGTGTACTCCTTGCGCTATGTCTACAATGTCAAAGTTCAAGTGTAAATCTTCTCAAATGCAACTTGACACTTGCTTGACCGACTAATGAAAGTGCATCGCATATTGGCTGTAATTTTTCTTTCCAGTTGCCACATTAAATTATAATGCTTCTAAAAATACATTGACAATATAGTTTTATCAGCATACGACCTGGGATGCATTAAGATGACTGAAAAAGAAAGAATTTGTTATATGTTCATTAAATGTATGAAAATGTTTAAATTATCATCAGTGCCCAGTTGAAGTTAACAAAGGCAGAGGTTATTAAGTTAACAAAGACAGGTTGCTGCTTAAAATGAAAATTGAGGGGAAAATACATAAATACATGAAAGTTTAGCATATTTCCGAATGGTACCAGAATATCGGTTTATTGAAGTTTGACATTTTTTTGCTTCAAGCCGCATGCTATGCCTTAAACTGACTCAATAGATGATAAGTTACGGATTTAACAGAAAACTTGCATAGATCTTCTGGTGTGCAAGGAAAACCAGACCCATGCTAGCCTGGCCTGAAAACAAGCATATGGGCAGGTGTTGTTGCTTTTTGTGCAAGGAAAACCAGACCCATGCTAGCCTGGCCTGAAAACAAGCATATGGGCAGGTGTTGTTGCTTTTTCTGCGTAGGGAATAGGCAGTGCACTTAACTGGCCTGAAAACAAGCATATGGGCAGGTGTTGTTGCTTTTTCTGCGTAGGGAATAGGCAGTGCACTTAATTTGTATCTTCAAGAAGTTGAAAGTAACTCGTGAAGAAAGGATCAAGAAACTCCCATAACATCATTGTGGATGTTTCTTTAACCACTATATGTACAAGTTGTGATCTTCATATGCATTTATTGACATCCAAACCCCTTTTCATCTAAATGGGTTGATTATGAAGCATTAAAAGCGAAGAGAAACTCCACCAGGAAAACAAGATTTCCCACACAGTTCAATGCTATGGTTAGTTACGTGCCCTATAAAGGATCAAGTAATGCTTAAAGGCACTTAGCAAGTACAAAGACCTACCTCTTTTTTGGTCATACAGTTCAAAACCATGCAAATCAAGAAGGTCAAAACTCTTGACCCAGAAAAGATAGAGATAAAGAGGAAAGCTAGTAAGAGTTTTGCTATAAAGAATTGCATTCATCTTTAAGGCACAAATAAGACGGAATCACAATTCTGAAAGATCCACTTTTAACATACTGAGATTACAGAAACATGATTATTTATATGAATGTGAACAAGATGACAATATCAGTGTATTCAAGACTTGATTTTTCTGAGTAGCATGAAACTCATCTGGACAGCGCAATCACTTCTCGTATCAAGCAGTCCTTCCGCATAGTAGTTGTAAAGTAATAAACAGACCAATAACACTTTACTTATTTATTTACAAGTGCCACCAGAGGACATAGTAATGCAAGTTATGGGTACATCGCATTCTTTGACATTACCCAACCTACCCAGTGAAAGATTGAAATAAGTTGCATGTATAAAACCTAAGACAACATAAAAATAGCATACGGTACAAACAACATGCAGACATAGGGGCAAACTTTTAGACCTCAGAAAATTAAAAAGGAGTCCAATAATTAATAGGAAAGAAAGCACCATACTAACGAAAAATGTTACATAGAACATGTCAAATGTCATGGCAATATGTCAACTATGTTGCTATATTATTTAAAAGATAAAATTGTTCAGGTAAAACACTGGCTTTAATAACATGCGCCATTCCATTTGCAAAAAGTATTACCTTCTGCTTCTTCTTGTATTCTTCCCAAGTTATAGTGTGAGAAGTGTTAAGGCTGGCCAAACGAGCAGCATGCCACTCTGGTGAATGAAATGAACCATCCGTCTGTGACGGTCCTCGTTAGTAAAAATTCGACAAAAATAAAAGTATTGCATACCAAAATGCAGAGAGAACAAATATAAAGAACTAAAAAACTGTATTCCTTTACAAAAAAGGACAAGGAAGAACAAAATTAGAAGAAGACATAATGGAGCAGCAATGTAAAAAAAGTCTCATATCTCTATCTTTGGATGCAACCAACTACATAAATGCACAAGCTAATAAGCTCCGCACTATATTTGTGCATTCAATTAAAGAGAGTATTTTCTCAAGAAAATAGGAAAAACAATTTCACAACGAATGGTAGGCAGGTGACAAAGTAATTGAGAAGGAAAAATCATGAAGAAAAATGAGATTCTCAAACAGCTTAAAGTTGACAAAAAGAAAGATATAGTTTCCTGCTTATTTATTGTATCCTTAAGTCCAAAGAATCCACAATTCATTTGGTAATGAAGATATGTTAGCCAATAATTTATAACTATAATCCTATATAAAGAAATAAATCAGAAACATCAAGTTGCCTAAGTGCATTTCACAGTATTATTTGCATGAACCTTGCTATTCAAATAGTTAGAGATTGAAAATTTTGCAAGTTGCTCAAAGTGCTCCTACTCCTGCCATACCTTCTACAATCTCCAAACATCTCAAGTTATTTGCTGGAAGCAGTAATTTCATTACTTATGCTCTGGCTGTGAAACTACAAGCAAAATCTACCAACGTATGGCCAAAGAAAATAGCTAAAAAGCGTAGTCTTTGCCAGAATAATGCCATTGTTTTTTCCAATGATTCATAGCCCATGACAACTATCAAGTATTCACCCCGTTTTAATTAACTAAAATTTGTGCTAAATTTGGTGCTAATTCAAGCATGATCTCGAAAGCGATTAGTTAACTAATTGCATAAAATGAGCTTGAAATTAACGGCTTTATCAGATTCACAGGGTTCTATCTACTAAAAAACACGAAATTGACAAACAATCTAGAGGCTTCAAAACCCTAGAAGAACAAACAGATGATGGCGTGAAAAGGTACGAACCATTCCGTCCTCGATCTCCTCAGGCCCGCCGGCGGCCGAGCCCAGCCTCGACCTCTGCATCGCTTTGTACGCTTGGTTCTTCCCCATCCTCTCTCGTTCAGGGCGAAGGATTCAGGGATTGAGGCCGGTACTTGGTTCAATTTTGAGAATTAGGGTTTTTTTTTTTAATACCCCGTTTGGGGGAGAATTGAGAAGGGGATGAGGTTGACGAGAGAGGGATGGGGAGGTTTTTGGTGGGATTTTATATGTAACAGGATAGAACTTTGAGGGGTTTTGTGAACAAATAGGGTCCAAGTGAGTGGAAGAGTAACTGGAAAATTACTATTGAATTTTTTATTATTTTTTCTTTTTTCTTTAAGAAATAATAATTGTTGATGGGTGTGAAATGGAAAATGGTTCTACGAGGGAAAAAAATTTCTGAAAAATGTGACATATGTTCAGTATTACTTTTTAGTTGAGGTAAAATCAATATAACCTATAAAATCAATATAAACAGTTAAAATATTGATATTATGTCTCCAGTGAATGATTTTCCGAAGAGAGACCATCCGTTTGGTTTTTTCCCCCTACTTGTACAACAACATTTTTTCAATGTTATTACTTATTAACTGAATTGGGGAAAATAACTTTCATAAAGTTTAACATTGCTAGTTTTCAAACTACTTTTCTAATTATATAATTACGAAGAACATTGTCAATCTTCTATGTAGAGAAAATGATTTGCCTTTACTTTAAGTCACTTTCTTCTTATCATCTTTTGGAATTCCTGACAACGTTCAAACTGATAAGTTAGAAAAAAAAATTGTTTTAAATCCAATTCAACTTTTTTTAAAAAAAACCGACCTACTCTGTTTTTATTTCCAGAAATCGATACTAGCAAAATTAGTCGGGGTTGGCAATCCCGACTATTTAGAGATGAGATTAAAAAAAATCAATCCGCTTCGTGGCCACGTTGCTGATGTTGCCACAAAGTGGGTCGGTTTTTTACAATAAAAACAGAATAGGTTGGTTTTTTAAAAAAATTGCATTGGGTTTAAAATGAAAATTTCTTCCGATAAGTTATTTATTTTATTCTAACACGTCCTGGCTCAAGATCAGCCCAACCCACAATTCATGGGCCTCAAACTCCAGAAAAGCCCACCCCAACTGGACTAGGGCGTAGATAGCTGGGCCACAAATTACTACGGTCGAAAGACCAAGTCATCAACAGTTAAAATAGCAGGAAAGAAGAGGTCGGTGGGGCCCACATCATGCTGGCCAGTTACATTGTACGGTAACGTCCTATCCTGTCTCACGAAGTCCAAAGGCACCATGATCCTGCGAATGCGGGCCCCACTCAAGAAGAAATCGGTGCAATACCGGCCGTTGGATTTATTCTGTGTACGATATTCGCCCTAAGATTTGCGGACGCAAGGACGCGTTTGACACATTGGTCCCTGAGGAATCTATTATTGCGTAGTCACTTGTAAAGCAGCCAAACTTAGTTGACCGCACTGAATATTATACGTCGAGTATACGACCGGCTGAAGTTCTCAAATTAATGTTTTAATCAAACCTTTCCAATCAAGCTTTAATTTTTTTTCAATAAAAAAGGTTAAGATAAGAATGAATAGCTCGACTGATGGTTAACTTTTATATTTAGGGTCCGTTTGTTTGCTCAAAAAAAAAAAGAGAAAACACCCGCCACCTCACATTTCAAGAAATCCCCCATGTGCCACATAGGTTTTTGGTTTCAAAGGTTTTCCATTTCTTCAGTTTGGTTCGTTTTGAAATTTAGAGAAATGAAACGCCACGTAGAATGCCACATCACATTTTTAAGAAATGTGTTTTCACAACAAAAACCTCTGAAAACACTTGGAAATGTCAATTCAATGAATTTTTAATATTTAAAAGCACTGTTGGAACAATGAATGGGAATTAAACAGATTATTTAAATATTTTCATTTCTCTTTCCTTTTTTTGTTCAAACAAACACAAGAAATAGAAAACACATGCACTGTTACTATTGCGGCTTTTTTTGTCTCTTTATGTGACTTGGAAGGTTTAAAGGGGTGATTTCTTTGCGAAACAAACATAAAAAATAAAATGTGGAAAAACTCTTGAAATGTCATGATATCAAATGAAATGTGACATTTCTATTTCTTGTTTTTTTCGGAAAACAACCAAACAGCCCCTTAAAGAGAGGAATGAAAGATATTCAAATTTCTCTTTCTCAGAAAACCATAAATAAGAGAAATTTTCAAAACCAATCTATTTAGAAATTTAATCCTAGAAAACAACCTTTTTCAAACTTAATTGCAAAAAACGACCTGGTTTCAGCCTTGGCGCTGAAACCATGTCGGTTTTGTGAAAAAACTTCGAAAACTTCACGGGAGTTGAACTCCCGTGAAGTTTCGCAGTTCAAAAAAAAAATTAAACTACGAAACTTCACGGGATTTTTAACTCCCGTGAAGTTTAGTAGTTTTACTAAACTTCACGGGATTTGAACTCCCGTGAAGTTTAGTAGTTTTACTAAACTTCACGGGAGTTCAACTCCCGTGAAGTTTCGGATAAAATTTTTCAAAACCCGACCTGGTTTCAGCTCCCGAGCTGAAACCAGGTCGGTTTTTAAAAAATTTTGCAAAAACGATCATTTTTTAAAAATAAATAGTAAAAGGGGTTGGTTTTTAAAATTTGTCCACCATAAATATATAACCTGTCATTTGATTTGATGGAAATGGACCAAATAGTGAATAGAAAGATAAGTTTAGATGTGTGTTTGAGACATAGGTACCAAAGAGTAAATTAAGTTGAGACTATACTATACAGTTAAAACTATTGCGTCAACTTTTTTTTTAGCCCAAATTACCCTCCAATATACTTGTCAAAGTTTCTTTTAAGGGGCTGTTTGTTTGTCAATAAAAAGAAGAAAACTGGCTGTCATGTCACATTATTTTTTTTAAGGAAATGGGGATGCCACCTAGGATGCCATGTCACATTTCAAGAAATGTGTTTTCACAACAAAAAACTGTGAAAACACTTGGAAATGTCACATCAATAAGTTTTTAATTAATAAATGCACTATTGGAGAGTATCATGATGAATAAATTCCTTTTTTAATGGGTCATTTCTCTTTTCCTTTTTCTTCTTGTCAAACAAACTAAAGAAATGGAAATCAAAAGCACTGTTACTATAGAGGTTTTTTTTTTGTTTTTTGTATGACTTGGCAGTGAAAAGGGGAGGTTTCTTTGCGAAACAAACAAAATAAAAGAAAACTGAGAAACCTCTTGATATGTGTTGAAATCATTTTCAAAGAGGGTTTTCCATTTCCGTTTTTTCGTGGAAATAGCCAAACATGCCCTAAATAGAAAACATGAAATAATGGAGTGAGTTTTGGACTCAAAGGAAGCCCATTTTACATTGGTCTGAGCTCTAAACCAACAAGTAAAAGCAACCATTTAAATTATATTTACCTGACCAAACTTAAGACATATAGTTGACAGTGTGGTTATGTATGTTGGGGTAAATATGAACTATTTATATATATATGCATATCCGTATATGTATTCAATTTTTAACAAATATGGATATGAAAATTTTGTAGTTAAGCATATCTATATCCATATCCGTGAGTGATAAACGGATATAATATGGTAAGTATCATATCCAATCTGTATTAGGTTGGATATGATATGGTAAATATCCTTGTATGCACCCTTCCTCAAAATGCAATAGAGCTTCGAATTTTATAGCAGGTTTTGCAGAATGCAACAAAAAATCTCTCTTAATAAATAAGATGTCTTCATGAAATTATGTTAGATAATCGTTTGAAATCAACAATTTATCTTTAATTTTTGAAACCCCTAAATATTATTTTCAATTACTTTGCTGCTCACTAAAATTTTAAAATTAGAAACTTATCCACAACATTTGATGGTATAGCTGTATTTCTGTTCATCCAGACATCCCCTTAACCATCTAAAATAGTCTTTAGATTGATTCCTACCCTTGTATGTCACTATTCCTAGGAAATTAGTATTAGTCCTGTGCTAAGCACGGTCTAATGTTTCGTTTTGCACATCCAATCAAGATTAGTCCCATGTCATTAATTTTATTGTATTTTTTATTCTATGAAGTTTAAAACAACCAAATAAATGTTATAAGTACAAATGATAATTGTCAAATTTTTACTCTATCAAGTTGACAATTGGCAAACCAATTTGTGAAATTACTACGAATAAACAAAATATGTAACACTAAGAGGTCCTGTTTGGATCAACGGAAGTATTAGAAGCGAAAAGTATGTTAATGAACTAACTTTTAAAACTAAGAAGTAGGAAGTAGAAGAAGTAACACTTCTTTTATTTGTTTCGCATACTTTTGAAATAGCAAAAGTGATACTTCTTTCTCCTTATTTTTTTATGGATAACAATTGAAAATTTTGTTAGGAAGTAGCTAATATTGTTATTTCGTGAGGATCTTTGTTTGAATAAAAATTGGAATAAAAGGTATATTTAGTATATACATCACACTGAAGGAATGAGAGAGCGATTGTTGTTTTTGGGACTCCGATGGAGATTGTAATTTCAGATGAGAAGAACTCATCTCTATTTATGGGCGTTTCCTCTCCACTTGCGTCCCCAAAAATCTGCACATTATCTCTCTAAAGCCGAACCCTCCATAAGATTCGTTCTCTCCAACGGAAGAAATCCCAGAACGTGGGATATTTCCAACAAAACGGGTTGAGTTCTATAATGGGTTGGGTAACAAGTTGGCCCATGAGGCCAAAACCACTTACACACACTAGACTTACGGTCATATTTTAATAACCATTTTCTTATTTAAAAAAAAAGGAAATACAATGGCCATGTGGATAAATGTGTCACATGGTAAAAATATCTAAACCATATGTTACACTGTGTGAACTGTGTGATTGGTAGGCTAAAGTTAGAGCATATTTTAGAAATTATATAATTTATGCTAATGCATGCATTTTTATTTCGAGGAATCCAATCATACGCATTTCCCATAGCAAGATGCCTAATGAGCACTTTGTACGGACAGTCCTGAAACTATTAATTTTATTTTATTATGTATTAATTAGATTATAAAGTAAACCACATTATTGCTCAATGAAGCTTACAATCTCATGACTTGAGCATACGCTTCGAGCGCGGCCGCTAGGCTGGAGATCAGGATTAGGACTTCAAAGAATCCCTATTTTCACACGTAGTTAATTTTCATGCGGGCCCCACAA